TATAAACTCAAATGAGAAAGCATTATAAGTAGTATAAAAATCCCACAAGTAAGAGAAATTCGTGTTATGGTGTTTCATAACCGCCATTTCTATATACATGTTTCAAGTATTTTTGTTTCGTGACATTTTAAACGAGGGAAATAAAATGAAAAAAAAAAGGAAATATCATGTGGCGACATTTTGCAGCTGTCTCGATAATTCATCACTTAAGGATCACGACAAATTATCCTACATATCAACAGAAGGGTATTTAATTATCATTTTATCAAAGATAATGCAAAAAGGGACATAATTTCTAATGCAAAAAGGGACATAATTGACAAATCACAAAATTTACTGTACTTTCTCAGTAATATATTGTGACAGGTTTGTCCAAATTAGTTTCATAATTGAAAATAATGCACGGCATTACCTAGCAAAGACATTTTACTGTATTCATATAGAATCTGATTTAACACATTCGTGGCAAGAAAAATAGCAGTAACTTGAACACATTTTGAGATAAATAGGAAAAACCTGTATGACATGAGTTTTCTTTTCTAAAAGGTTGTATCTATTTTCTTGAGCCCATGGCGAGTGTTTACACACCATGACGTAATAAACAAAGGTGAATACAATCCATTAAAACATATTTAGGACATTTATTGTTAATTCATTTTAATAAATCCCTTTTGTGAAATGCTTTAAGACCCTATAACGCATTTATTATGGTTTTTATCATAAAAATCTGATGCTCAAATGAAGATTTATCAATATCGTAATATCAAAAAGCAATATTTGTAAAGTACCGAATTTAACATTTCATGTAAATAAATGGAGGATATTACAAATTTATTTTCGGTAAAGTCTAAGCCACTTTTTCAATAAAAACTGAATGCATTAAGCTTAACATTTAATTGTAATGTATAAAAACATTTGCTGTACATATTTAACATATTCGTGGATGTTTTGAAATTGTTAAAGAAGAATAATTATTTACATATATAAAACTTCACTAAACTGTATGTAACATCCCTTCTCCAAATCCCTTCCGAGGCGTGCACGTTGCGGCAGGTCAAGGTCAAGTCCTCTCAAGTACCAGATACGATTGTTTGACCTGGGAGGGTGGCGCTTATAAGAGCCGTTTTATGTTTGCCTGTTTGCTGCCGTCACGGAACATGGTGCCTTGCCAGTATTGTCTTTCCTCCAATGAACTAAGAACAGGTTAAGGAAGATCGGCATGAAGAAGACGTACTCGATGTAACTTCTAAAGTGGATCGGCATGGACGCTGAGATCCCGGACATATGGAATTTCCGGCGCCGACCTAAAATAAAACTTAAACCATAATTGCAACATACAGAATCTTTAAAGTAAGCCTGAACAGAATAATGTGAATCATTTTTCTCATATAGCTTTATAAATAGTCCGTCTTGTCAGTTACGAGTAGTAAAAGCTATGGACAACGGTAAAATCGACACGGATGATTTGCACATTGTTTCGTATTCATCCGGTTAACCGTCATTTTATCAATAGGTTTATTGTAAATCATTTTCATATTAACCTATTATCAACAAAGTATGTCATGTATTAGACCTATAGCACATCTATAGATAAGTACATTTATATCTGACCTTCATCCATGGCCACACATAATGTGATCAATGTTAAAAGGATGTAAAAAAGCAAAGTTGCCACTTTGTCACTCTTGTTTAATGATTTATTGACACGTGCAAAGGATATTAGAAATTAATAAGCGATCTGTTCCGTCACCCTAATGGGAACTCTAACTATTTAATTTTCTATAAATCTGAAAGAATGCTTTGACTAATAAATAATGATATCAAAACAAAGGAAAATTTACATAAACGATTAGTATTGTATCCCTAGCTGAAGTAAATTTGAAAACTGAATGAGAGATAATAGATTTAGATGAATGGCAAGTATTTAACACTGTGTCCTTTTTGATATATAAATAAACAAAAAATAATCAGCATCACCTGTGGCGAATATTAATCTTGTATTATGTTTGATTATTTGAAAGCTCAAAACGACAGAAGATTTGTTCATCAAAGCTGCGTATTATTTCCTGTTAAATATATACTTTATGATACTTAATTGTTTTTGTAGCAATTCAAATTTATTCTGATGTAAATAAGCAGGGCCTTGGTGTTTGATTCTGTTTATGAAAGCTTTGTTACGTGCAGTTTAATATGCAAATACGAATATAACGAAAACAAAGTATGTATTATACACTGTATCTTAAGCGGCATGCAACTATAGCAAGATAGTCTTTACACGTGCATCGCACTGTTCTCTAATAATTTAATACTAATTAAGAATAATTTTTTACCAAAAAGGATGAATGATTTTGTCAAGAATGAAAGATGTAAAAGTCGATTTAAGATATATTCCGAGGTAACAGTTAAATAATATTTTAAACATGTCGGTACTGGAAGTTCGGAAACGTTTACAGTTAATGCAATTCAATTTCTTTATTGCATTAAACATATACTTAACCATCCTTCACTAACTAGAAACGAAATGGTATCGATGGCATTCAGTATATACACTTGTATATGTTTTCCTGGTAAAAGTCTTCATTTAACAAAATATCTTTAAAAATCCCTCGGAAGCGATGAAAATAACAATTAATGAAAATTTCAGAGTCAGTCTAATTGAGTATTTTAATGAGAGATACTGTAAAAATGTTCTAGATCTCTCATGCCCCTAGCACCAGCTTGAGCGGTATTCAATCTTCAAAAGCGGTATTCAATACCCTACTATATCGTGCTGGAATCATTGATTGCGAAGGACCAAAGAATATAACAACGGAAAATAAAACAACACTGAAGTGAAGTACAGGGCAACTTTTTACAGCTGCCACACAGCACTTGACTCCTGCTGTTGTGAAGTATAAAAATCTGGGAAAAGAGTGATTCCATGGAAGCAATGAAAACAACTATATATGGAAATTGCAGGCTCGATTCGCTTGAATCGGTTCATGAGAGATAAAGTAAATGTGTAACATCACTAATGCCCCCAAGCACCGACTTTTAGCGGTATTCAATAATCAAAAGCTGTATTCAACAATCTTGATTTCACATGTCCATACGTTCAGACTTACTAAGTCGATAAACGAAAACGGTACTGTTTCACGTTTTTAAGACACGTGTTTTATACCTGGAATATGTTATAAATATAAGACAGCAAACGGTATTAAGTTAAATCTTTGAATCAATTATGGCTAAAAACAATAATCAGTACGTTTTTCATTGTTATGTAAATTAAAAAGACGTGCCTCGTAGCTCCATGATCTATATTCTTTCATATATGAATAATTGTACAACCTCAATTTCGACAATAAAACTCAATTTCAAAGGTTAATGAATGCCCAAAGCTCTGTTGAATCTCTTAACATCTGTTATTTATCAAAACTACATACAAAAAGAGGTAATATACATCACTAGAGTTAAAGATCATGTCTGCATTTTTATAAACGTTGCTAATAAATACAATTTGCAATGTTTATTAAAATGAAATTAAAAATAATGAGGAATACTTATATCTTAAAATACCAATTACATTAATGTTCTCTTCATGTCGGAGGAGCACCTACATGTCAGTTTTAATTTGATTTAGTTTTGACAATTGATTTAGATCGTTAATATCTTGTCCTGCAATTTTTAAGACTGCATATTCACAGTGGGTAAGCTTTTCTAGTTTCTGTGTGATGGCCAGTGACCAATCGGAAAAAAATATTTGTTCTACCCAAAATGTATAAACTTGCACTTATACTTTGATCCTTGACCACTTTAATTAATAAACTTCGTTTGCTTGATAATGTTCATAGATGTTTTGTGGTTGATTTTGTGTGTGTGGCTTTTTTTAATTCTGACGAAAGAAACATGTTTAACATGCTTAAAAAATATGTGGGTGGCAATACATCTGATCATTCCTCACTATGTTACAGTTTTTATTATAAATTAGCCCTGCTATTTTCTGTCATATGTCAAAAATGTCAAAATCTACATTTCAGCTTTATATCAAAAAGTGTTGGACTCTTGAGCATTACATGTCCAACTAAAAGTATGCATCTGTGTAGTTGTGTTGATTACACATGTGTGTTGATTATTTTAATTTCTATGACGAGTTCAATACTTTATATTATTAATTCAATTTGTATTAAATAAGACACAATGATATAATAAGTAAAATACACATATAACACTGATCACCTTGTTAAAGTTAATAATTTAAAAACCATTATTGTCTAAAATTTATAAAAGTTAATGCTCTGTGTATATATTTATCACAATGTTAAGGGGTAGGATAAGACTAAATAGATATTCTGGTAAAAAGGCGTTTTTAGGGGCCAACGAAAACAAAAATAAACAAGTTAAACGCAGACAGACTCTGATTTGCTTGGGTGTTCACACAATGACACGTGTAACATGCATCTCCCACATCCTTATATACAGCTATGGTCATAGTAGTTAAACCGTAAGCTCAAAGAAGCTAAGAAGCTAAGGTACGTACTTCCTTACCAAAGCTACCAAGCTTGATTTTTGCTGTTGTGAATATAGAATTTTAGGGAAAAGGAATTACTGACAGAATGGATGATCTTAATAAACATCTAAAGTAAATAATAAAAACAAATTTTAATTCAAAGATTTTTGCACATGTCATGCTGATTATACTATGGGAACAAATGTATATTCATGTTATGTTCTTATACACAATCTATTTATCTCCCTTTAATGATAACACTGAGTACATCGTGTATAATTTACTAGCATGCGACTGAACTGTCATATTAACAAGTAAGTTAAGTGAAACTCCGCTCTAGTACATATATGCTTTCTTAAAGTATATATTACTATATATTTAACTATATATCTACAAAGAATATTCATTCTATATGATTTTAGACCACAGCTGAAATTTAAATACTTAAGTTCTTATGTTAAAAAATCATTGTAATGAGAATTAAAGATTGTTAAGTTTTATCAGTTTATTACAGTTTATTACAGTTTATTTTGGCTAACTCGGCATGAGAAAATGCCTTTGGCCATTTACAATAACATTCATGATGGCCAAGACAACAGAAATATATACAATATACATGTAAATATAACATACAAAAACATATATACATCAAACGATTATTTTAACAATATTTCTATAACTTGAAAGTATTTTAAACAGATATTTTAAGGAGCAGCCATATTTGCAAGAAATTCTGCTCTTAATTTCATAGCACATGAAGTAAATTTTGCAACATTTCTTATTTTTCTTATATTTTTACTTGACAAAGAAAATGAAATTTATTTAGAGTAGGAAAGGAATAGTTTATACAATATCTTTTACGCAACTCTCTGTAAATAGGACAACAGAGTAAAAAATGATATTCGTTTTCAACATGAGTACTACACATTTTACAGATACGATCGTTTCTATCAATTCCAACAAATCTACCATTTTCAACTTCTAAATTATGGGACGACAATCTAAATCGAGACATTGTTTGTCTACAGGAACTTTTATCTAACACCGTCAAATATTTTTCAAAAGAAAATTCTGTCTTGAACAAACAGTAAAAATTTAAGTTTTGGTTGATTTGCAATTGTTTCGCTCCACTCTTGTACGTATTGATCCCGTAATCTTTGCTTTAATACAGACATATAGTTATTATCAAAATTTGTTTCATTCCATAAGTATCCATAGCCTAAATTATTTAAGAATTTTTTCACAGACAAAGTCCAGGAATTATTTGAATTTCGATTTTCTGATGACTTTAATTCTGAAAAAATGTTATACATAAGTGAACCTGGACATTTCATTATCTTTAACCATTGTTTCAATGCTCGCTCTTTACATAATACAGACAATGGAAAGCGACCAAGCTCACCCAGCACAGCAGCATTTGATGTCTGGGTTCTAACACCAAGAATTCTCTTGCAAAAACGAAAATGAAGTTTATCAATTTCTTTATAATTATATACTCCCCATACTTCTGAGCCATATAGAAGTATGGGGACTACAAGAGAATCAAACAGTAATAATTGTGTTTTTATATCAAGATTTAGTCTACTTATAACTGAAAGAAGATTGTTATATGCTCTGAGAGCTTGGTCGTTTAGAGCCTGAACAGCAAATTTCATGTTACCGGTATAGTAAAATTTAACACCAAGGTAACAAGAAGAATTAACGATATCTAGCTTAGCACCATTAACATACCAATTATAATTGCATTGCGTTTTTCTTTTCTCAAAAATACATATTTTAGTCTTGCTAGCATTGATCTTAAGGCCCCACTGCAACGAGTATATATAAATGTTATCAAGAAAGGATTGCAAACTATTTGGGTTTGTGGTAAATAGAGCTATATCATCAGCAAATAATAACATATGTACAGATAGTAAAGATAAATCAGTCTCTGTTAATTGTGACACATCAACAATATTTTTTACATCTTTAACAAATAAAATAAATAATAGAGGAGAGAGTGGTTCCCCTTGTTTAACACCAATAGAAACATTAAACATGTCAGAAATGGTCAAGTAAGCTGTGTCTTTTACACAAGATTTTACGTTTTGATAGATGGCTTTTACCATTTCAACCATTAAGTTAAGTTTTATCAATTACTGCAAAATGAATTACATCTAAAAACTTTTTCATGTAGTCATCTATTTGTTCAACTTTTCATTTTACTGTTATTTTATTAATTAAACCATTGGACGTCAATAGAATACATTATTAAAAATGACAGTTCAAAGAACACGAACATTTTTCAATGTGTATACTGACTATGTCCAAGTAATTTCCAAAGTAGTATCATTGCATTTGATATAGTAAAAGCAGATCGCTACATATCTTACTGGATAATTATCTGCATACAATTAATCAAATGCCTGTGGTAAAGACAACGTGTTATTGTTTAAGCCACAAAATCTATTTCTGAAAGATGACATGCTGTTTGAACGTATACCGATTTATGATACTAATTGATTGGGGAAAAACGTCAATGATTGTGTACGAGAGGTTGAGGTCTTGTAAAGCCCTTACATTAAAATGATTACATTCGATAATATAATACATTCATATGTTACTTAACTGTTTTTCACTCTGAAATGAATCTTATACTCAATCAACACTATAGATAAATTGGTAAATTATTTACTTTTTGTGCACGTATAAAGGGATAGAAAATATACATTTTTTTTTTCAATATAAATCAACACCGATCCCATGTGCATACAAGTCACTTTAATAAGAGAACGAATCAAGCATGTTTGTAGAATAGATTAAAGATCAAACGCTATGGAATACTGTCAGCTTGATTTACAAAGTTGTGAATATGTAACAAGTAGTGAACTCAAACAAAATTAGATTCATGCAAAGAATATTCACAATCCCATTGTTTAACAATAATAATCTATTTAACTGCAATGTAAAGAATTACATGTTTTGTTATTACAATCACAATAAAACCGATGTGATTTTCCCCTGAAATGCTACAAAACATCTTTTGTACAATACATTGTCGTCAAGGCATGTCCTTTTGCTCCTTTTGGTTTATTAATTTATAAATTGTTGTTTTTCATTTGTCCATAAAAGTGACATATAAAAAAATACCATTTGAAATATTTTGTAATATCGTGAAGTTTTCTGACATTGATGACTAAGTTTCTTCAAAAGTAAAATATGAAGGATAAAAAGATGACTAAAATGTTGAAATCCGACTATCAAAATGTAGATATCAAACTCAAACATCATTTATGAAAATGTCAAAATGAATTTAATATTAATTTATAATGTCTTTGTGTTTTACCTCGTTTTTTATATCTAATTAGGGAACAAGTACACACGAAGTCAGTATTTCACATCTGCCGTTTAAAATTAATATAATTATTTTCATTAAGTGTCAAAAGCATAGACACTGTCCATAATTATCCTGGTTTAGTACATTTTGAAAATGCAACCAAATGGGTCCGAACGACAATTTTTTTTTCAGTAATTGATTATTTCCTTAGTTTTGGCAAAATTAATAAGTACATGTATTTTTTTACTTCTTTTATAGCAATTTAAAAATAAATCAGATTAACAAGAGTATTCTAGTTCTTATCTGATAGTGGTTATAAATCTCAGTTGATTAGTCATACATGCATATTAAATGTATACGAATTTCATGTATTATATTTGTAAATGTGAAAAAGAGACTTAATTAAACGAAAATGTAAAATGTGTAATCGATTGATTATAATTGCTCAGATTAAGATTGGTTTCTTAACACTGAGCCTTCATATCTCAGGTCGGAATAACTTTCCAGCAGTATTAAGTAATCGCTCTACAAAAACATGGGTGACTTGAACAAATATTATTTGACAAAGCTTGCTAATTTTGGGTATTTATCATTGTTTTATTATAATTATTTAAGGGAAACGACCTTCCTACATTGTTTACAGAGTGAGCTGGTTGTCTTCCACCTCAAATGCTCACCAGAAATACTAAATATATATCTACATCTGTTTGAAGATGTTATCCATCACTTAGGTCAACATCCTTTGACCTTTTCAATAAAGGAGAGTCAGCTGAATCACTTGTTGTGGGATTTTTGGGCATATAGTGTCCATTTATTTTTTGTCATTTACCATAACCACTGGCTTATCTTAATTCAAATTTAAAATGAGGAGATATCACACTTTACTAAGAACATAAACCCGAGCTGTATTTCACGATGATATTGTAACCTGCTCTTCCGTCAGCATTCAGTCAGATTAGGTAATGTGTTTTTAAGTTTCATGTTCAAATGTTGAATTCTACTTAAGCCGGTGCTTAAGGGCGTGGACGGTAGTTTGCACCTGACATTACCTTCCATGAACAGATTCAATCAAACCGAGCCTGCAACATTTTCAATTTTGCCGTTTTTTTTATTCTTTTATGGATTCTTATTTTGTCTTTTTTTTGGACTGTTTTTATTGTATAGACTTATTGTGAAAAAGATGGAATTTTTACCTCTTTGCATAAATAATAAATTTGAAAATGAATTGTTTTATTGAATTGTTGTGTTAAAGATGTCGAAAGTAAGTGTGTCGTTATTTACTATATGTAAATAAAACTTTCATGTAATAATTATGTATAATGCTTTTTCCCCAATACAAATGTTTCATGTTGATAAGTTTATTCTACATGGATTCGAAAATGTCTTTAAATAAGTAGACTTTGATACTATTTGTTAAACCTATCAAACCAGCCATGTTCATGTACTAGTTATATTGCCGGTTTAATTTTTTATGTTTGTATTTTGGTGTTTTTAATGATGAATATTGCTCATTTTGTTCTGTATGTATTTCACATTTTTAGTCCGTTTTCTTAGAAATAAAAGTAAAGTAAATTGTGCCACAAAATTGTTGCTTAATAAAACGCTAATAAGAGGTAAAAATCTAGAACGAGGAAAGGCTAGGAAAGTAGGAGGGCTTTTTTGAATTCTATTAATTCTCAACGTTTTAAAATTGTACGTGTTTAATTTAAGTATGTCAGTAAACCAGTGGTAATTTGCATGACATTCCTATATAAGAAAATGAAATACAAAAGATTACAGGATATATTATGAACGGCGCACACGAAGGTAGTCAGTTTGACCTGAAGTATCTGAAATGTTCGCAAGAATGCCGTCTATATTTCAATATGTTTTTGTGAATGTAATTAAACTTAAACTAATCAATATCAAGATTAACACGTGGAATGTAACATCAAAAGTAAAATGAACCCCATTTAAACTCATTAAACGTACTTTTTTCGGACATTAGTAATTCATCTGGTACCAAATTGCTTAAAAATTAAGATCAGTCTTGAAATAGCATAGCAATTGCTTTTTTTAAAATGCTTATGATTGTACTTTCTTATTTATGTGCTTAAGATTATAACATTTATTATGAACGATGCATGCACAGGTTATCTGTATTAATTGAAGTATCTGACAAGTTCGATATAATGATCAATGTTTCTTTACAGTTTTTGTGGAATTTGTAGGATCCAGACTGTCATTAATCATTTTTCTGATGAACGCTGATGCGGAAATAGGCAGCTCCAATAATATCTTCATTGAATAGCAAAATTTGCTTAGCCGCAGTTTTCGATTAATAAAAAATACAAATATGCATGCAATTATTATTTTGATATGTTATTCATTAGCATTTTTGTACATTGTTCTATTGGCATAATATTAACAAGTCCTTAATAAGAGATGTTACAATCAACGATATAAAACAACAGTTGTCTGTGTTTTGAAAGGAATAACATGTTAACGAGATTGTACTTTTGTCATTTTTTGAAATGTCAGCGGGAACAAAATGATAAAATCATGCTAAAATACAAATATCATTATATATTCAAATATTCAAACATATAATGTAATGATCACGTACGTATTGTTAAAAAGTGTCTCTTCAAAGTCAATGATGACGTAATGCTTAAGGTTTGGTATTTTCGTTCACATGAGTGACTTAAAAGGTGTTGCGATTTAAAAAAAAATATAATTTGAGACATTGGAAGAAAAAATAGATTTTTTTTAAAATTATTAATCTATTTAATTTAATTTAGCTAAACTCAACAAGTTTTAATTTATTTAAACAATCTTACTTAATAATTACAAATATAATTTAATTATTTGACTTAACAACTTTTTATTTACAAATTAGTTTTAGTATTTTTATTTTTTTTAATAACTGATAAAATGTTTTTATTTCTATAGCAAAACTTTTTTACCTTTACAATTAAGCATGGCAAGAAAAGCATGTAAAACATGAATACATAAATATTTTGTGCACAATAATTTACCGCTGGGAAACTAAAACAATAGATTTACTAAATACACGTGAATAACACTGTAGTGACTGATAAAACACGTACAAAATGGTACTACAACATTACTGGATACTAGACTACCTTCCTCCGTGCTAAACTACCAAAGCATCTACCGGGGATCGAACCCGCACCAGAGAGGTAACTGGATTAGAAGTCATCGACTCTAACCCCTTCGAAAACGGAGGCGGTCTGAAGCCTTATTATAATAGGATGCGTTGTAATGTATAAGTTTTTACCAGTATACTTACATCTCGAGTAGAAAATTGGTTCGAGAAAAACAACTTTATTTCGGACG